ATTTAGATCCCATTCTTGTGGGTTGTACATGATGTGGAATTTCAATTTTCCGTGCACCCGTTAGTCACGCTGACCTCACTGGTAAGTCAAGATAATTAAATTCCAGTCCAAGATTTATTGAGCACGTACTATGTTTCAAGACAACAGAGACAAAACAATATAATTTTATTCCTGGTGAATGAGATAAATAACCTCTACCCTAATAAAGTTTATAGTCTTTTAATATTGGACCCAAGCCAGCCTTTACTCAGGCCACTATTTCCCCCTACCTTCTTTCCTCTGTACTCAGAAATCAGTCTAACTTCAACCATCATCAGTCCCTGGCTCCTAACGAGTCTTCTGTTGTGCCACCTCTGTCCCTCATCTAAGCCTCTTGTATGTTTGTGGATTTTCTCTTAAACAAATCCAACATATATCCATGCTGCATCTACTACTACAAAGCCCTGTGCTGAGCTCCAAGGAGATCACTAGACTCCTGAGATCTGGGGCCTGCCTTCCAGATGCCCAGGCTCCAGTGCAGTATGGGAATCGCAGGCAGGTGAAAGGCAGGTGAGAATGACCACATGGGTGAGAGCAGAGGGAAAAGCTTTCTTTGCAGTTGGATGGTGTAGAGATGGGAGGATTCAACATCATCCACGTCCCTCCCTCTACTCCTGTGAGAGGAGTCAGCTCACTCCTACTAAAAAGTTTGCCAGCGACTCTGCCATCCAACACCAGGCCCTTTCTCCAAAAGGGATCCTATTAGCCAATGCAGGGGCTTCCAACCTTTCATGAAATGAAGGTGATCTTCAGGACCAGGGCTGCTGTCTAGCCAGTTTAGACCCTGATTCCAGCTTCTTTTTTCACTCAGTGAAAACAATAGCATAGTACAATGGCAAAATCAAGAAAATCACGTGTAAAGACAATAATCTTTATTATTGCTTTCCATGTAAATAAACCATAGTTTTTTACATTTGGGCTTGGTTAGGGTTAACATTCATTATCACATGCCTCAATGTGATTAAGGACATGCCTGAGATAATTTCTATGAGTTTTCCAAGCAAAATCTGAATCATCTGGGTCCCACAAATGAGCCTATTTAAAAATAAAAAGAAGCCAAAAAATTTTAAAGATAAGTATTTTCATGATAGTTCCTTTAAAGAGTTGGGGAAAAAGATATGGATTTGTTTCTCTTTCCTTAAAGTAAATATGTTTTCTGTTTGAGATTTTAAATTGGAACTTTTTTTTAAGAAAAATAACAATACAAATAAGATTCATCAGGTCATGTGAAAAATGAGGGGTCTTCAAGTACTGATACATTAGCTACTTGGGTCCACTTTTAATCCGAGTCTCCTGAGAATTCTGCCCTAGGTTTCTAAGGTGGGTCCACAGCACAAAGCATCAGCCCCTGGGTCAGCACTGCCTGGAACATGGAGTGGATTGACCCTGTGCTTTCCTACAAACACTACATTTTACACAGGAAAAGAGACTGTAAAAAGGGAAACTTTAGATTAACAAAGCAAAAAACTTCAGCTCCTTCTTCTTCCTTTACTAAGTTCTGTAGTTAATAAGGAGGGTTTCTTTCTCCTGTTTAAAATTTGTTCTTTTTAAATGCAGCATATGTACACAATGGAATATTATTTAGCCAGAAAGAAGAATGAAAGCATGTCATTTGCAGGAAAATGGATGGAACTGGAGGTGATTGTGTTAAGCAAAATAAGCCAAGCACAGAAAAATAAGGATTGCATATTTTCTCTCATATGGGGAAACTTTAAAAAAAAAAATTGAAATGACCTGAAAGTAGTAGAGGAACTAAAAGTGGTGGAGACAGGTTGAGGTAGGGGATGAGAGAGAGCAGTAGAGATGGTAGATATAATTGAAATATGATATAAGCTTGTATGGAAATGTCAGAATCACACCCATTAATTTATACAATTAATGAATTAACATGTATAATAAAAGGTTTAGAATTTTCTGAAACTTAAATATTCCTTCAAGTATGATATGTGTGTATGCACGTGAACACACACACATGACAATATACACCAGAACCTCGACGCTGTTCTGTCAGAAGTAGGAAATGCTCAGTTATAAGCAAAAAAAAAAAAAAAAGTTACCATGAACAAGAACAGCACACAAATACCCCAAGGGGAAAAAAAATTCTTCTAACACTCTTTGAACCTTAAACAGTGCTTTTATAGACCAACTCGTTGTTTTTCTTTTATCTGAAAAAAAATAAAAATGATAACTGCTCTAAGGAGTTCTACAGAAAAGGACAGTCTCCATGGTTTCGTTTCTTGACAGAGCCCAGCTCTCTCCCTTGGTTTCTGCCACATGGAATCAGCTCTCAGACACACAGTCTCCCTCAGAGGAAGCCATCTGGGACCACAGAACTATCTGGAGGTCACCCTCTCTATGCATGGGAAGCCTCCCTTGTCCTCGCAGGGAGAGTTAGAGGGGCGAGGTGTGAGGAGATGAGATAGCAACCATCCCCCTCGTGCATGCTGTCTGTGCCACTGTGGAGTTGTTCAGGGTGGCTTCTGCCCCGTCACCAGTTGGTCTGGATTGTCTCTTCAAAAATTTAAAAAAAAAAAAAAGCATGCCTGCCTTTTGTAACGGTGTGTTTTAAAAGAGAAAAATCTCTAGGGAGAAAACCGGACCCTAAAAGTCCAAGGCCTGGAATTCTTCCTTTCACTCTTCCCATTTTAAACAGGAAACATTCATGCTAAGAGAGTCCGGAGGGAGTTTGGGTTGTATGTTCATTTCAAGGCAGATAATGTTTGTGTGTTGCAAATGTCAGTGATTTATCCTAAGGGCTTAAAATAAGTGCAGAAAATCCACATGTTTCACTTCATGCAGAGCAATACCTTCAGTAGGTTTTGAGAGAAAGCACAGGTTACGGATTTTTTTTTTTTTCAAGTGTTTCCAAAATCTTGAGCCAAAAGGAAATAGAAATGCGCAGGGGTGGCAGGGGCTTTAAAAATCCTTATGATAAAAGATATAATGAGTGCTGGAAATTTTCTAAACCAAAAATAAAATTCTCAAGGAAAGGAAAGGTGAAGCCTAGCTCCTTTATTTCCCAGGACTAAAGTGACAGATGATGCATCTGTGGTCTATTTGTCATGGGCAATTTAAAATAGAGCAAAGCAAACTGCACTGAATAATAGCAGCTGATGCTATAATAACTTGTACATAAACAGTTTAATTTTTTTATCTGAAAACTCTCACTAACTAAATTACCCCAAAGCTCAAGCATCCATCTTTCATTATTATACATAGCCAAATTAAGACGCAAAAAAAAAAGTAGAAGGAAAAGACTATTGTTCAGCCTTACAGACGTGTCCGTGGGCTACTTTCCACATGTGCCCATGCTCGGAGCTTGTCAAATCTTCATTGATTTGAGGAAGGACGGGGCTGTTTTAGCAGCTCTGCAGATTACAGGGTGATTTTGACCCTCATTGACAGTGCCTGATTAACCACAGGCACGGTGCGCTCACAGGCCTGTCATTTCTTTCAAGTCTGTACTCTGACGTTGGAGAGCTTTTCATTAATTAGTATTGTTGCTGGTTTTCTTTTTTGAAAAAATCATAAAAGGGGGAGTAGTAAAAGTGAAAGGTGAATGGTGGTGAATATGTGCACCGTTTATGGGACTTTAAGAGCTGCGAACAGAAGTCATGCCTTTATCCCCAGGCTAGACAAGATGCCGTCATCTGCACATTGTCTAGAGACACGTCGCTTCTGTTGTAGCGATCGAATCAGAAGATGCTTCTTGTCTTCAATAGACAGATCCAGACAGGGCCGCTTCCTGTTAGTGTTTATTCTTGCCCTGGACCTCTGTGTGCCTGCCCATTACACAGGGTGGCTTACAGCTGGTTTCAATTTTTCCACCCTACTACTGGTTGGGTGGAACTTCTTGACTTCGTAGTGGAAGTAATTATTTTTTATCAGAGTTCTGAGTGGGCATTTCTCAGCCCTGGTCGGGACTTTTCCTAGGGACTGTAGAGGGGAGGCCATGCTAATCCACCCAGGGCTGTGACAGCAGCCACCGGAGTTAGGCCAGGACCACAGCCCATTGAAAGAGCACCTCCCAGATCTAGAAGGAAAGCAGGCGCAGTTCGTGGGGACTTTATGACTCCAAGTCACCTGTATGTTTCTGCTACCATTTCTGAGACAGGTTTTTATTATTATTATTATTATTATTATTATTATTATTATTATTTCCTCTATTTTAGATATACATGACAGTAGAGTGTATTTTGATATATTATACATACATGGAATATAACTTATTCTAATTTGGATTCCACTCTGTGGTTGAACTGTGGAGTTACACCGATCATTTATTCATTTATAAACATAAGAAAGTATGTCTGACTCATTCTACTGTCTTTCCTGTTCTCCCCTCCCTTCCCTTCATTCCCCTTTGTCTAATCCAGTGAACTTCTATTCCCCCTCCCCCCTTATTGTGTGTTAGCATCTACACATCAGAGAAACATTTGGCCTTTGGTTTGGGGGGATTGGCTTATTTCACTTAGCCTGATAGGAGAGACAGGCTTCTTCGATGCAAAAAGCAGAAGGATCTAATGGTCCCAGGCTTAAGCGAGCCAAGCTCACTGCCTCCTTTAGGACACTAGTTCAGTTACTGTGAGAAAGGCCAACATAAGAGAGTATAAACCAGACAGAATCATGTTTCTCTCACAAGTACCTGTTCAAGTGTAAAAGGACCTGGCTGACAGGGTGGCCCTGCTGTGTTGAGGACTCGGGCTTCGCCTCTTGTTTCTCTGTCTTCCTCAGCACCTGGTTATCGCCTTAAGGTCTAAAATGGCTGCTCCAACAGCCAAGAAGAAAAGAAGGGAAGTTTCCCACTCTTGTTTTTAAGTGAGCTGTCACTCCTGCTCACATCCCATTGGTCAGGCCGAGTCCCTGGCTACAGCAAAATGTCCAGGAGACTGCGGGATGTGGTCTTCAGCTGGGGAGCCGGCTTGGCAGCAGCTAATGTGCATCTCTTCTTCTCTTTCCAGGGGAGGTCCAGCAGACCCTGCCGATTATATGACAGCAGCACCCCGAGGGCTCTACAAAGAAAGGGAGCTTCCCTACTACCCAGGGCTTCATCCCGGGCATCCTCCCAAAGGGAGCTACTCACGCCCCACAGATCTGAGGGTGGCAGATCTCCGCTACCCTCACTATTACGCATCCCCGCCTGCCCCCCAGCACAAAGGACCCTTCCGGCAAGATGTTCCACCATCCCCTCCTCAGCACCAAAGAGTGCCAGCCTACCAAGAAATGGGCAGAGTGGGCCCGAGAGGTGGAAGCCCCGACCAGTACCCCTACCGAACCCAGGATCCCAGGCAGAAGAACCCCATGACGGCAGCCGTATAGCTGAGTGCCACTGAGATGAGCAGCCCAGCAGGGAGGACATCTACCCCAGCCTCTGCCCTTCCTAGATGCTGAGGCCTTCTTCCTGTTTGAATCCTCCATGGTACAGATTAGCATTTCCTCATCGAGTTTGTAACATTGACTGCTAATCAGAGGGGAAAAGAAAGAACAGGGGGTTTTAGGGTGAGGGTGGATTCAGAAGGAAGAGGGAGGATGGGGTCATAAAAGCGATACTTCCTAATACTTGAAAGGCTTTCAGAATTGGTCAGTTCAGAGAGAGTAGTAACTAAATAAGCACCTAATGATGAGATTGACTACATGGTGGCCCTCTGGCTAGACAGCCCAGCTAACATGCACCCCCATCCCCATAGAACTGGCAATACAGAGGTTGTCTCTGCCAGCAGCATTACCCATTCAGAGGCTGGGCCTCCGACCCTTTATTGGAACCATGCTGCCTGAAGAGGGTCAGAGTCAAGGCTGCAGATGTGGGAATCAGTTTACCAAGTAGTTTTTTCATCAAGAACGAAGCATCAGCAAACATGCCCAGTGACCTTCTTGAAATTTTTTTTCTACCCAGAGGAAGACTACATTTCTTAATAATCTTTCTCAGGTTCCTGATCTCCCTCACTTAATGTAAACATTTCACATGCTTCCTTGCTGTTGATATCAAAGTCGGTAAATGTGAATACAGTATTAGTGTCCTGGGAAAATGTGCAAGGCTAGTCGGAGCTTCTGGAAGGAATATATTCCAAGGACCAGTGATCGGGTGATGAGCACTGACACTCCCAGGGTCCTCACCTTCCTGCCTCCCACATCCCAGGCACCAAAGCTCGGAGATAGCTGGTTTCAGAATCATCCCCAAATCTCCTGGCTGTAATTTTTTTTAACTGGACCCTCTACTTTAAAGCTCTCACTTGAGGGTGAAAGCCCGCTGGTTGGGTTGCATGGGAAACAATGCCCTAGGGATGCCAATTCTAGACTCAGTGCCAAACAGTACCCATCTGCCCTCAAGGACAGGGAGGAGCTGACTGTAGCCTTTGGAAATTGGCCACCAGCAGGTAGTAGATGGACATGAATGATTGTGTGTGTGTTTGTGTGTGTGTGCGTGTTTTCAAACATGTGGGGTTACCAATATGGAGATTACCAATATGGAAGATAAAAATGCTTTCTGGAAAGTTTGATGAATGAAGCAGAGGGGAGGAGGAGAGTCATGTGATTAAATCAATCTGCATCTTCTTTATTTCATTAACAAAAGTCACGGCATGGACAAGCTCTCCACTGAGACACGAAGCTCTTATGACTTTGAAAAGCTGAAACCCTGCCCTCTGAGATCCTCAAGGAGACCAAACCCATCCCAGTCTCTTTTGAGCTTTGTAGCTATTTTCTATTTCTGGTTTCTATAAAAATCAGAGCTTCTAAAACTTACACCTGACCCAAATGAGAACCCAAGCAAAAGATTGAGAAACAGCAAAACTGGGAAGCAGCCGTTTGAATGGCACAGTGATGTTAAAATATTTTAAGACTTTTTAATTCTTTCTTCATTCCCTCCCCCCAAAAAAGTCTTTCAATTTAGACATATTTTGGCTGAGTGTAGAATACCTCCAACTGACAGGATCTAATAAATTATAGTATTATTGAATACATAGAGTATCCATCTGTCCCAGTTTAGTCTTTTTTTTTTTTTTAATTTAAAATAGAATTTTGTTACCAAGAGTGAAACAACTTCTGGTTTGAGACCTAAGGAGTGTTAGTTACTGGACTTTGAGAGCTAGCATTTTCCAAACCACAATTACGGTGGCCTCTGAAGAGCAGACAGTCCAGTTGGGTTTTTTTTTTGTCCTCTGTCATCTGTCTCAAGGCAGGTCCCCTTAAATTGTCTGCAATTTGTTCAAGGAGGTTGGGACTCCCTGGCCCTGCTCACCTGAAGGTGTGGTGCAGGTGAGTGCAGGGTGCTGAATGCTACCTTTCCCTTAAGCTAAGTCAACTTTAAATACAAGAACAATAAGACGAGGGAAATGTCACTTGTTTTGAAGCATTAAAAGTCAACTCTTTGGGATATTCCATATTTTAATCAAATATCTGTAGACTACTGGACATAGCCACTCCAGAAGGCTTCTCTTGATGTCACCTTCAGTACAGCCAGGGGGTGCAAGGTGAACACTCTGTGTCTTGGAGAAGTGGGCCCTGCAGTCAGAATGCCATGTTTTTACCCCAGTGGTGCCACCTTGGGCACATAATTCCTCCTGCATACAGGTTCAGGAGCAGGAGCTCCAAAGCATGGCTTTGTCTTGTACACAGTCAATAAAATAACTGCTAATCCTGAGGGGCAGTCAGTGATGTGAAGGTACTATGAAAGTGAACAATAACAAAAAAAATAGATTATAACAGTTATCTTTTCTTGCTTGATGTATAACACACGCTCCATTTGATCCTGCCCTAAAGAAACTAACATTGTATTTGTGACAGAGGCTCCATCAAGCCAAGCAACAATTAAGAACCACTCAAATGTAAGCTTCATAAATGCCTGTCTACTGCCCCTCCAGTCGCCACCTCCCAGAGGTTACAGGACTCTTCCCAGCATTCAGGAGAACACTGTTTAGAGTGCCTAGATGCCCAGGCTATAATCAGTAGGTGCCCAGGAACCACAAATAGTTCCCAGTGTATTTATGGCCTTGGGAATATTCTGTCAGGTGTCCCCTTGTGGCATAGAACTCTAATAGCCCCCATGGGATAGAGTGGCATTCCGACCAATACACCTGTCTGCATACACCCACATGGTGTGGATCTGGTCATTGAGGCCTCAAAATGATGTTTGGCTTTTTGTCATGAGATATTTTAAGGAGTCATATATTTCTCCTTTTTTTTTTTTTTGCCAGACTAGAAAGACAAAAAAGAACAGACCATTGAAAACCTTTAAATGTAGGAGAATTTGGTCTTCCACAAGAAAAACACAATATTTTGTTAATCCATCATGCAAGTAGGCTGTGGCACTATCCCTCTTGGTTTAAATTGTTTCCTTACAATATCAAATTAGTGGATGAGAGGAAAGCTCAGAAACAGGAACATTTTCTTAAATCATGATTTAGTACCAAACAAAAATTGGAAAATATTATTCTGAGGCTCATTTTTCTTGGGTACATATATGTTGATGGCATGGTAGAGATCCAGAGATCTGCTGTCACCATGAAGAAGCCCCAAGCATACTCCCTGATAGAGGAGATTTGAAACTTCACTCCAACTTTACTTTTGCTACCAAATAAATAAAATTAAAACATGACCCATTACCTCTTCTACAGAATCATGCAAATCTTTAATCTAACCTACCTTCTGATAATTCAGAAGGACAGGGAAGTTCTTTCTCTGTTCCCTGATATGCACAGAGATCACACCTGGAAAGGATGCTTATTTTTCCTAACCTGTAACCGCAACATTTATTTTCTTTGGAGGAACTTCATAGTGTTTCAGAAGAGTAAAGAGACCTGGAGAGTTTGGTATTTAAAGGAATTCAAGTCTGTAAAGTTCCTCTTGGCATTAAATTCTGAGACCCACAATGAATGCCCTTCAAATTGGTGTTAAATTGGGTAGACACCTGACTGCTCCCCAAGTCCGTTAGCAACAGAAAGTCCGGACTTCATGCAATTAGGCAGGAGAAAGCAGGATTCAAAAATAACCATGATAGGATTTCTCTGCACTCTCAGTTCACACTGACTTAAGTGGAAACTATGCCACAATGAGAGCAGAGAGGGGAGTCTCCATAAGATCTTCCTACAAAGTCACCTTTCTGATAAAAAAGGAGAAAAAAGTTAAATATCTAAAATAAGCCTAGAATCTCACATGCAGCCACGACTTCTAAGTGAAGTTCTTTCTCCTTCATGTCCTTAAATAGTGACAGAATTACACACAATCTGACTTTTAAAGGTGGGCTTTGGCTGCTGAGCTCAGAATAGGAAGTGAACCAACCCTCAAAGACTCTTCTAGCCTGTCTCCTAACTCGGTTCTTCAGAAAATATTCTGTTCATCCGCAGCGCTGTTTACTACCAGGACATAAAACAAAACCTGTTGTTTATACCATCACTTTTTCTAGTATTTCCTGTGCTTTTATGATTACCAAGTCTGTTCATACATTTAAATTATGTGAAATCATATTTTGGCATATGGGGGTGAAGACTGAATTCTTGACAAACTTTTTAAGATTATCTCATTTGTACCACAGGGAAAAAAAAACATTTTGGATGTTATTATATATGAGTATATAAATTTTCTTGTTTTATTTTGCATTAAAAATAAAGCTTTATTCAGTCAGTAAAACATCGGAGTCTTGGTTTTCACCCACCACTGGTTGGTTTGGGGAGTCTAATAAATAGGTGGGCCTGGGCCTGCTCACTCTTGCTCACATTCAGTAGTCCCCATAGCAATGTTGAAAAATAGCAGCCAGGCCAAGGTCAAAAAGAAAGAACACCTGTCACAAACAGAGCTCCCCAAGAAGCAGGTATTGGCACGGAGACTCTCAAGAATTTTCATCAGATAGTACACTTGGGTTCAATGCCTAAAACAAGGAAGGAGGCCAGATTGGATAGAAAGAGAAACCAAGCAGCAATTCACTCCCAAAATGGGCCTTTGCCAACCCCCCAGGGAACTCTGGAGAACAATGATCCTTCAGAGTTGTCCCAAGTTGGGATGAGGGAACTGGACCTTAATGCCACTGGGTTGACCAGTAGTTAAGGGCTAACCCTGAAAAGAGGAAAGCCTCAGGTCAGGAAGTTGTCTTCAGCAGAGGCAATCCCCCAAGACTGCTGAGAGCTGGGGGGCCATCTTAGGAAACCTTGATAAAACACCTATCTGTCTAGCATCATTTTGAAAAGGAACTGCTACACATCTTATGGGGTTGTTTTGAATATATAGAAGGCCCAATTGTATGCATTTCTTCCCAACTCCACACTCAATTATATCATGTTGGTAGTTTGAAATGGGTTATATTGGGGGTATTTATCATATAGGAATTGGTATTTGCTGCAAATCAGGGAGCCTTCTTTTCCTCTGGAGAGTGAGTGTTAAACATTTATCAGGACGTCATGGTAATAGCAGCCAAGGAAAATGAACAGTTGCCTCTATCCCTTCACATTTACATGTATGTACACCTACACCCCTTAAAACTTTTCTATGCCTGCCTACTACTCTACGTTAATCCAAAGTCCCAGGTCCTTCAAAATCTTCCCCCTCTTCATCTCTCCTGGGTTTACATCTTGTGCTACTATTTTTTCAAAGTACTTTTTTTCACTTGATCTGGACACACATTTCTAGAGCTCTGTGCCATGCAGTATATGATAAGCATATGTACCACTGTTCAAAATGCCTTCTTTGCCCCACCTGCTTTATCCTATGAATCCTCGCTCATCCTTCAAGTCCCAGATAAAGCAGCTCTTTCTCCAAGAAGACTTGAAATCAGAAATTGAAGACTGTCTCCCTCCCCTGTATCCCACTGGTAGCAGGACTCACTGCTGGCCAGAGACACAAATACCCTGAGACCATGTTTTCAAGATTTCTTCATAACCTGGGTTCAACGGGAGATTCAACTTCCACCCAGCAGACCAAAAACACCACAAGACAGCACTGAGGATTAGGCATAATTCAGCTGGCCAACATGATCACAGAACTGTCACAGGGAGGCTCAGACCCTGGAAACAGATTCAAGATCCTGGCAGGTGGAAGAAGATGCAAGACATGGTTAGGATTGTAGACATACTTTATTCAGAGGTGGCAGCAGCCCCCTAGCCTCCAACTCCTGTTCCATTTAGACCCCAGCCAGTTCTGTTTTACCCCAACCAGTTTCATTTAGCCCCTGCCAATTCCATTTAGCCCCTTGAGCCATTTCCATGGGACTTTTATTTATATGCAGGCCAAAGAAGGCACATTGTCAACAGGTTCCATGAGTGGGCACAGACTCACAAGCAAATGAATCAGGGTGTTCATGATCTTGGCTATCGACTACTAAAAACATAGCCTGCTGAAGCCTGGGTGAGGGAGTCTAAATATAGACATTTTTGACCTTCCCAACATGAGCCATTTGGGATGCCCAGAGACTGTGATGGCTATCCATTGTTGTTAGAGTAGATTCCAGTTGAGGCAGTATGATTCTGTTGCTGATAGTTAGAGCATTGTCTTTTTGAGCTTCTGAATTTCTGATCATCAAAAGGATAGCAACCCCCTCATTAGGCCAGCCAGTTCTCTGATGCTTTTCTGTGACTTATTCTTGGAAGCATTGCATAAAGCTTGTTTGTCCAGCCCTTCTGACAAAGCTGACACCCAGTTCCTCACATTCAATCCCTTTCTGATTCCACAAACTAGAAGGAGCTCAGTTATCTGCAAAAACAAGACTATTTCCATACCCCTCTTCCCACAGCAGCATTGGTAATTCCACACTGTATGTTACCAAGATACTTTCTGCAGATCCTCAATAAAACTTTTATTACCCATATTACAAGGATTAGTTTCCAGGTCTGTGTGGCCTTCTAAGGTGTATCGCATTTGTAACACATTGGCTGGCTCAGACTCTGTGCTTAGGAAATATTTGTTGAATTCATTTGAATGAAGAAATGAGGTGTGAGGATTCTTTCCCCGAACTGCTACACCACTAACTTTCCACCTCGAAGCTCAAACCGTAAATCTCAAGGTCCTCTTTTTTGGAGATTGCCAGTATTACTCTTGAGGTGAAAGGTGTTAGCTCATATGGGCAGACCAGATTCTCATTTAAAACACAAAAAAGCAGTCCAGGAGGCTGTCAATGCAGGGGGGAATGCATTATTTAGGGAGTAAAAAAAGACTTGAGTGAGGAGAAAATGTATTACTTACAACCTACTAAGATGGAAACACTTTTAGCCACAGATGATTACTATTATTATTGCATAATTCCTTGGATTTTAGGCAAGTGCTTTGCAAATCACTTGCTTTACTTGCTCAACAGTTGTAGATGCTGAGTTGGAATGACTCTGACTTTCTGTAAAGAAACTGACTCTTTCATGAAATGGCACTAACATAAAGATTAAATGAAAGTTCTTTAGACATAGCCAAAGAAACTTTGTGTCTTAGCAATTGAAATTTCTTTTTTATTGGCCAGATTTATTCTGACAAATTATTGTTTACAATACATACAAGTGTTTCATGTTCACACTAATTTTTGTTCCTCATACAGTAAAAAAAAAAAAAATCAGGTTCATACCAATTGGATAGTTGAAGAAACTGAGGTTTGAAGAAGTCAATGAGGCAACCCAGGTCTGCACAGGGAGGAGACAGAGCTGGATTTCCTTTATTCATTACGTAGCTTTTGAAACCTACTGTGTTCTGGGCATTCTAAGCCCTGCAGGCTCCTGGATGGGCTGTCTGCTTGTCAGCGCAGGTGGGAACCTCACCATTAAAAGGTCTGTCCTAGCATTATGCCTCATATCTGTGCCTTCCTCATCAAAGGACTCTCAGAGGTTGGTGGTTATGGTTATAAAATGCTTTAGCCATAAAAATTTTAAAGCCCATTTTAAAAATCAACCTTTCAACTTTTTTTGGCTGGTTGTTACCAACCCTCCCCCATTCAAGCCCAAATACCCAAGTTTGTTCTATAATAGTGAGTGTGTGACATCATAAAAAAAATTTTAGTTTTCACTAGACCCTTTCAATCCTTTACTGGGCCTCCTCTGCCTACCCAATCTACTAAGAAATACAAAAATAAAATGACAATCATAGCTCAACACATTCTTCAGGTCAAACACTGCAAAGTACTGCAGAGGATCGTGGACATGCACAAGTCTTGGATGCTACCCTAAAGGTCCTGAGTGTTGATGGGAAATAAAAATCACATTCACAAAATTATGGCATTTGCTAGTAAATAGATGGAACTGAAAACTATCATGATAAGTGAAATAAGCAAATCCCCAAAACTCAAAGGCAGAATGTTCTCTCTGATATTCAGATGCTAACACACGTGGGGGAGGGGGGGCGGGTATAGAAGTTCATTGGATTAGACAAAGGGGAATGAAGGAAGGGAGGAGGACAGGAATAGGAAAGACAGAATGGATCAGACATAACTTTTCTATTTTCAGATATGAATACTCGACCAGTATAACTTGACATCATGTTCAACCACAAGAATAGGAAGTTATACTCGACACATGTATAATATGTCAAAATACATTCTACTGTCATTTATATCTAAAAAGAACAAATAAAAAATAAATTTAAAAAAAAAACCCTCATTCTCCAAGAGCCAAAACTCAGGCTAAATGTGAGGAAGACTGCCTGGGAAGGTTGATTTTGACCCTGGGTATGGACAGAATCAAGAAGGTCTGTGGAAGACTGAACATCTGAAGTAAACTTAAAGGATGGAAAGAATGTAAACTGCAAGCAAAGAAGAGTATTGGTTTTCTAGATAAAGAGAACTCAAGCATCTGATGGAGACAGGAACCTTGCAAATATGTGTGATTGGCAAGGATTACAGGTCAATAAATAGATAGCTAATATCTTTTCAGTGCTTAGTGAACACCAAATACTGGCCTAAATATTCTACATAATTTGTCCTGTTTAACCTTCAAACTTAGAGAAAATAGAGTCACACACGAATTAAGTAACTTGCTCTTGGAATTTCTGATCCAACAAAAGCAATTTCTTAGGGACTCAAGACTTACTTAGGTACTTGAGAGAATCATTTACACAAATGGGTGTTTAAATAAAATTGGCCTGAGGAAAGCACCACGTGCAATGAACTGGAAAACTAACAAGTCAGACCTAGAAAGAGGAAAGGACTAATGTTAATTGCATGTCAAGGGCAACGCTAGCTGCTTTCCTTGCATTTATTCATTGTCTCTTCGGAGTGAATAAGTTGGGCATTATCCCCACTTTGCAGAAGAGAAAAATGGAGGCTCCAAAAGCCTAATAACCAACTGTGATTATTAGTCAGGGAGCAGCTCTGATTTCAGATCCAGCTGTGATCCACCAATGAATGGCAGAGATTAAAAGTAAATCTCCATGTAGTTTCTTTTAATTCTTCGGAGCTTACATTGTGATTACATTTAAAGTGTATGCAACACTGAAGACAACACAGAACGTGTAAATGCAGATTTTGACATTTCAGACTCAAGAAACAGGCAGCCTCGTGTTCGTTCCACTATATATTAAATTATAATCTACATAGACAGCAGTTGTGAAAGGTATCCAGGCAAATAAGTTGTACTTCTGGTGGAAGTCAGACAGGTAGATGAAACTTTGATGACTTAATTCCCTCAACTATTAAAGATATAAGCAGACCAGGACCCAGAGCTGGAGAA